TTTAAGACAGGATCAATGTTTATCCTTCGATTATGACTTTTTAATGGTTTGTGCAAATCTTAATTACTTTATTTGTCTAAATGAATGTTTAGCCCTCCATCAGTCACATGGATTTAATATGCACACTCACACTGTAGGTTAAGTTGGTTCATTTATGCTGGAAACGAACTCCTTCTTTTCACTTGTAGAATAAATAATCTTCATTTTTTTTAAACCTTAACGCTGACTCAGATTTGTGATCTTCCTCCTGGCACGATCAGCGACATCACCAACGAACACAATCTGACCGTGCACTGGACTGAGAAACACACCCACAGAGACTGTGCTCTTTACACAGGTGACACATGTCGTGTATCTCTGATTTATCAGCGGCTGGATTACAAATATTTATGTCCTCAAGCTTCATTAACACTTTTTTAACTCCTGCAGGTCGAACTGAGAGTTACTGTCGGGACTCTGCTACGGATCAGGAACTCTTCAGGTAAAGTTGTGGCTCATTATTTAGCAGCACGCACTGTGGAGAGTTTTTTTTTGAATGAGTAAGAACTGAGTGAGCTGTTTGTCTGCAGGAGTGAACTCTCAGTAGAGAAGACCTCAGTGTTACAGTCGGAGCTACAGTCGTGCAATCAGCTACAAGAACTGGAGCCGCTCAATAAGTGTAAGCACCTTTAAATTCATTACATCCACATGGCTGCACATTCTTTACACAGCAAATAAATAAATACACAACATTCATATTTGTTGTTGCCGATCGTGATGTTTTCACGAAGCCACTGAACCGCTCTCGTCGCTCCCGCAGGGTGCTTACTGACCATTATCCTCCTGATGAGGGCGCTAGACCCTCTGGGATACGAGAAAGAGACACTTGCTCATTTCCAAACATTAAAGGTGAGAACCGATGAAATACCGTCTGTGGTGACAGAAGACAGACATCACTGACTGAACGCTCTCATTCTCGCCCACAGGAAGTGGACTCCATGCGCTCTGCGTATTACAGCGACCTGTGCAGCAAGTTTATGATTGAAAACACCATCCTGAAAATGGAGTACGCTGAAGTGCGCGTCTTCAGCATCTCTGATAAGGTCGGTTCAGAGTCGTGACATCAAGAAATTGTGTTTATCTTGAATCCCCTGTCTGCTCCACAGGGACGCTCCTCATGCTTTTTATTTTGTTGTCACAGAACCTGACCACTTTATGCCACCTGGACCAGCTGTTATTGGTCACTCATATCAGCCTGTCCTCCAATCAGCTGCAGCGGTTGCCTCCTCAGTTCGCTATGTTGCAGTGTCTAGAGGTGATAATTCATATCCACTTTCCTCTGTGCATGGACAGTGTCTCTTTTCTTTGTGTGTGTGTGTGTGTTCAGCAGTTGGTAGATAACAGCAGGGAAGATCCATAGTGATGACTGTTTCCTGCAGTTAAATGATTTCTTCACACTTGCAGGTTTTGGAGGCTGATAACAACTCCATAGAAAATCTGGAGGGAGTGTATCACCTTCCTAAACTGGAGGAAGTCGACTTGAAGAACAACAGTATCCTTAAACGCACAGTGTGTAACTTCTGCCTCCAGGAGTCTCTCAGTCAAGACAATAACAAAAGCTCCTTTCTCTGATCTTTCTCTGAACATTCGTGATAATGTAAGAACACAACTCAACAACCTATAGAGCATAGGTGTGTGTGTGCGTGTGCATGAGTGTGTGTGTGGTGGATCTGTTAGTCCTGCAGCACCAGTGTCACAGGGATCAGTTTATATCTCTACACTCCTGTCACAGTGGTGGAAATGTGTGAATCATCTGAGTGTGTAAGGCTACCTGCTGCAGAACAGCCCCAGCAAAGAGAGCTGGCACCTCGTGGAGTGTGAAGAGTGTGATGTAAAACACACACCACACACAGGGCGGGTGTTTACAGAGTTTAGAGGATTACGGTGGTAAAAAGACACTTCAGCTCAGCGCATGATTAATTTGTTTTCATGTGAAACTCAAAGCAGAGATTGAGCATCATTAAGAAGCAGAGAGGCACTGAACACTCCCCTTCTCTCCTCATAACGACGTCTGCGGACGACGACACTGAGGCTGCGTTCAAGTTTATTCTTTTAATTAAAAGAAATTAATTCACATCCCAGCGTCACATTTGTCATGCGGATCTCACTTTTACACTTGTGTTTGGAAAACGTGAGTCATATCTCCTTCTTTTTCATTAACTCAAAGGCTCAGAAATCTCTACTCTGGCAGATCTTCAGCCGCTGGCCTCCTGCCCCAAGCTGAAGCGCCTCGATCTCCGTGGCAACCCTGTCACTCAAACAGCCAACATCGAGTCGCAGTTGGCCGAGCTGCTGCCGTCGGTTACAGACCTCCTGCTCTGATGGATTCACTGCCGCCATCGTCCTGTCGTTCAGCTGTCCTTCACTTTCCCCAGCGTGTTTGTCTGTGAAAGAGCAAGTGGGTGTTTCTTCAAGTGTCTTGTGTCTCTGTTGGTTCCACTTGTTCGAGAGAACGTCCGTCACAGCGCTGGGTGTGAAAGCCTCATGCTTCTTATGTCAGAAACCTCTGTAAGACCTTCAGTGAACTGTCTAGATTTATGTGTGTGAGTGCTTAATAACCGATGTTGCTTTTCTTTTAAACTGTGTGTGCGTACGGATGTCCTTAATACAACACACACAAATGCATGCAGAAACACTGATAATGGAGTAAACTGACTGTGTGGAGCTGCGTGCAGCAATGCTGGCTTATTGCTTCTATAAGCTTTAAAACGGTTGAGTTGGAAGAAAAGCTTGTAACTGATCATCAGAGCATTGCATAGTTGTCATGCACATTTTTTTAAAAGCTTGTGTAAAGCATTTAATATACGACAAAATACTGTTGCACAGTATGTCACAGATCCAGTAATAAAACAGCACACATTGTGTCACTGCCTTCCCATAAGCCTCTTTTGTGGTTATTCGATTGGGACACAACAATGAATAGATACGCAGCGTGAAGGCGTGGCGGGCCCCAAGGTGTGTCGCCTGATTCAGCTTTTAGCTGCTTCAGTACCCGTCGTCTCTTTTGATTAATTCGATTTTGCAAGATGTCAGGTTGACGTTTACTTTATTCTGATGTCACAGTGTCTTCAGATGGAAAACCTGTCAGCAAAAACTGTCCTCGTCCACTGTGGGCGCGTCTAAAGAAAACAAACTGAATTCAAATGCAATTTCAACAATATCACATCGAGCAACTCGCAACAGAAAAGAAATAAACATTCAGTTTTATTCAGTTTCTCCCAAAACTTTAGTTGATTTGCAATTTTGCCACCAATAGAGAAAGAACGCTAAAAGTCTACAGACATGCTAGCACCGAGCCTCCTCTCTCCTGATTGGCTCACTGACCTGTTGTTACTACAGCTCCACTGAGTTGGTTTTATATCTTCTTAAGGATCAACACAGTGTTGGGGAAGTTACTTAGAAAGCAGAGCTTCACAAGCTGCCAGTTACTTCACACTGGAAGAAGTTGAACTGCAGCAAATTGACAAAGTACATGTGATATAAAAAAAAAATAACTAAATATATATATATATATATATATATACTGCAAAAAAGTCACATTCCAGCCAAAAAATGCCACTTAATTGAGTTTATTTAAAAAGCACCTCCTCGTTGACACGTCATTGATTTAAACCAAGAAAATAAAATACCCCGCTGTTCATGGGAAAGTGCTGGAGTGGTGATTCCTCCTCAGGCTGAGATTCAGGAGGTTTGTCCATGATGACATCGCTGTGTGACCATTGAGCAACGCCGCCGCCCTCGGCTTTTTCACATGCACTACACAGAGGTCAAGTAGATGGAGGCGGCTGTGTGACGAATGCGTTGCCTGGGTAAACAGTATCTTCACAGTGGCCTGGGCCGGTTAAAGGTTCAATTACAGTGGAGAAGCAACGGCGAAATAAACTTATTATTTGTAGTTTCAGTTGTGGGTGGAAAAAAAATCATTTAACTACTTGAATCACGATGCACATGTGAATGTAGCTGAACTGTTTAATCACACGCTCACTTCTCCCCAACACTGCACTCCTGTCTGTCCATTTCTCCATTCCCACCTGCATCACCTAAATAATTCTGTAATATTCCTTTTGACACTTGACACTTGTTCACTATCCCCCAAAATGATGCAATGTAGTCAGGCGCCTTTTGTTCAGAGGTGACCTGTCACACAGTTGAGAAACTCGGTGAAAACCCACTCAACCAGTCGGTGTAGATCACTCGGGTAATTCACTCGGGTTATCCAGCTCCTGTCATATCCACCGAGGGTTTACACAAAAGCAGGTGGGCAGCCGTTCCCGCACGGAGAATAAAACCGTCATAAGAACAAGGTGTGGACGCAGTGGGTGAGCCAAGGCGGACTAAATCTCACCGCAGCTGATTTATGGGCTTTTCTTTCATAGCGGACCTTCGGACGTGTCACACACGGTGTGAATGACAATAATTAATGATTTTTCTAAAAAATCTATTAAGCTGCCTCAGTTTCAGGATCCTGCCGTTGTGCGTCACACTGTCATGGCTTAGAATGGAGGTTGTTTAATTAATGAATAAGTTAATAGATGAATTCAGGACAAGGATTAGAGGCAAGCCCAAACAGGGCTGGGTTACAAACAATAATACTAATAATAATGATAATGTGGGATTTACGAGCCTGGTTATGTTTTACTTTTCCATCAGATATTTACATCTTGCAGATCTATAATCAGAAAGAGATCAGAGACATAAGACTGACTGATCAGAGATATCACAAATCTGTTGCTTATTATAACTGAATATAAAAAGTAAGTGACGGTGCACAACAGGATGAAGATGACTACTCTCTGTATCGGCTGTCAAACTGTCATGTGCCCTACCCAAAATGTTTCAGTTGTTGTCTTTGGACAGACACAGTCTCTGGCCTGCCTCTCGTCTCAGGGCGTGTCCTCTCCGTCTGAGCTCACAACTATTCAAGTATTTAAAGGAGGCTTGAACGTGTAGCCGCGAACAGAAGATCTCTTCCTCCTCCTCCTCCGGTCTGCGTCGTCACACTTCTCCTGCCACTGAACTGAGTGAGTTTGAATCAGCTGTTTCACACGGAGCTCTGGTCTGTGTGCGGCCTGACAGTAATGTGACTTAATGTTGTTAATATCAACTCAGATTCATTTGCATTCAAGCTTTTGTCCTAACACCGTGCTGACAGATTTCCTGCCTGTGTAATTCACTTGATTAATAGGAGACAGTTACAAACAGAGTTCTGTATTTCTGTCTCACTGTCACACCAGGATTACGCACAGCCTATAAAAGTCTAAGAGGTCAATGATTTCCATTTCTTGCCTGATTAACTCTGTCAAACTTTGTTTTTAGTGTCGATCTGCTTGTTGAATGGATTTTCTTTCTTCACTTACAAACTGCATGAGACAGCTATAAATTCTAATGTACAGTATGTTTGTTAAAAAACCCAGTGAGAGATTTCTATCTCCCGATGAATATGCGATAACTCAATATAGTCTGACTGATGTGACATACACATTTACATCACTTGTCTCAGGATGGAGTAGAAAGTCAGCATTATAAATTAAACCCTGTGACTGCTTTAATTCTGTGAAGGCCCCTTTGTTTCTCTCTTAACGGCTCTGAACGAGTGGCCCCGAGGAGAACGGGTCATGAGTGTAGCTGTGGGATGCTTTCTGGATCATCACCCTCCTGCAGGAAAATAGTCTACTTTGACGAATAGGCACGAGTATATCTGCTGCTGATGTCATGGGAGCGAACTTATACCCACCTCATCTGACATCAGACCCAGTTTACTGAAGTGATGAGAGTCTCCGGCGTCTTATCGTCCACAACGTGTCACACAGAGTAACTCACCGCCGTGCAGGCCTGTGGTCCTACCTCCTCGTCTCACTGTGTTACTGCAAACATTTCGTGTTTTATTTGGCAGATTATTGGAAGCAGCAGCAGCAGCAGCAGCAGCAGCAGCCAGGAGGTTTGTTGTTGTTGATCTGAGTGGGCAGGTCGCAGACTGTAATCTCAACCACATGGAGCACGCTTCCATTCAGGCTTCATGCTCAGCCCCTCTCTGTGGCTCTGGCTCCAGGCGAGCGCTGTGCTGGCTCGTTTTCACGTTTAACAGTTTTGGAGGGACGACCCTGCGGTAAACTTTCACAACCCGCTGAGGCTTCCAAGTTCTAATAGTCGTGGTGATTTGGAGATGAAATCACATTAGTGAGAGAGCTGAAACAGAGAAACAGAGATTCAGTTGAGCAGTAACGCCATGGCAACAGCATGGCTCCAAGGAAGGCCGTGTCCGTCCACCAAGTTAGTCTAGAGTGAAATTAAACCAGATAAGAAACTAAAGATGGATTGACATGAAATGAAAGTTCACAACTAAAACCTGACAACTGACAATCCATCAGTCGACTGATTAGGGCCACAAATATCAATAACACAGATTCTAATAATCGATTCATCTACTTATTTTCTTGATTAATGGATTAATTGTTTGGGTTTAAAAATGTTTTGAAATTGCTTGTTTTGTTTGACCAACAATATAAAACCCAAAGGTGCTCAGCTTTACTGTCGATTATCAAAATATTTACCAATTAATTTTCTGTCGATCGATAAATAGATAAATGGACGAACTCAGATATATTTTCACAACATCCCACAGAGGAAGTGATGTCACTGAACATCAGCTCGGCTGTGATTGGGTCGTAGGTACGAGGCCGCAGGAGCTTTTATACAACAGTTCTACCAGCGCCATGTTAGTTAAATAAACAACAACAGATTATGATTTGTTTGTTTATTTAAACATTTATTTATTAATACAAATAGTTACGCAACTGGACTGTTGCTAAGCAACACATGAAAATTGTTTTGTTAAGCTCGTCTTTCAGCAGCGAATGTGACGCACAATCCTGATTTAACAGGAGGCGTTCACTTCCCTCCTCTACTACCGTACATCTCTGCTCCGTCTCTCAGCCTCACTGGCATCTGAATAAGGCGGGAACTCACTGTCAATCTTTTTATTGCTTCGTCAAGCCTGTTTTGTCAGCAGCTACATCAGTGACTGTTGCTCAGGAATGTAAAGCGTGTGAGAAGGAAGGGCTTTCACGGTTCACGTGCGCCTTGAAGGTGGAATTGCGTCTAGAAAAATGCAAGTGAAATCAGAGAGTGATCAGCAGAGGAGACACTAAAGGGACAGAGGGAGAAACTGAAGTTTTGCAGGATTCATGCACCTTTATCTTTGTTTCTTGAGCAGTTCTTCGTGGGCAAGAGCTGATGAAGCATTTACACATAAGAAATTCTTTTATTTCAAAGCACAGCTGTAAATCAGAGCACGTGCTCACCTCCCCAGAAAACCTCAGGGATCTGATTCAGCATCAGTGAATCAGCTCCAGATGTGTCCTGATGTTCCCGCTTCCTGCCATGAGGGAGAACTCTGTGTGTGAAGGACTAGGATAACCAGTTCAAGATCGTCCTATGATTTATTTTCTGTGGATCAAATCAGTATTTACAACAATGTCTTCTTCTCAACACAAGAGAATTATGCAAGTCACATGATCAGTTCCACCGTGTCTGTAATGTCTGTTCAGTTAATGTACTGACTGTGTCAAATATATATATTTCCTTATGTCCAATCTAAATTTATTTATGAGGCACATTTAGAGTGCTGTACATTAATATACAACAAAAACACACAACGTAAAGATTAATTAACGAAGCCATAATAATGAAGTGACAGATAAAAGCTTAAAGACTCAAAAGCCACAAAAACGTGGGTTTTAAGTTTAGTCTTAAAAATGTTGTTGGAGGGGAACAGCTGATGAAATCGCCCGTTCGCCTCAGCCTCGCCTCCTGGGACGACCAGGAGCAGCTGGTCTGAAGACCTGAGGGGTCTGGGGACGGAGAGGGGGCAGAGGGGCTCAGAGATGAACTCGGGTGTCGGGCCGCGTAAAGCCTTAAAACAAATAAAAGAACCTTGAACTCCGTTCGGTGTTTGACTGGCAGCCAGTGCAGCGATGCAGGTACAGGTGAGATGCTGTTTCTTTTTCTGGAACCTGTAACATCTGTAACACCTGGAGGTGTGGGTGTACCCCACCTCTCGCCCGAAAGGATGCTGGGATAGGCTCCAGCCCCCCCGCGACCCTACTAGAGGATAAGCGGTAGAAAATGGATGGATGGATAAAAGACAAATGGTTGAAACAGATGGCTGAAGGTAAAAAAAAAAATGACATAGCTACAAGTACGTGGAAAAAATAGACAAATGTAATGGACAAAAATAAACGAATGAACCGTAATTCCCGCCTCGTGGTTTCGTGCCTCAGACACTCGGACCAGTTTCAGGTCACAACGTCTTGAGTAATGGCAAAAAAAAAGTGTTTTGTGAGGTCACACTAACCTTGACCTTTAACCTTTGACCTTTAGTTGCCAAAATCTAATAAGTTCATCCTTGAATCTGAGTGAACCTTTGCACCAAATTTCAAGAAATTACCTCAAAGCGTTACAGACGTAATGCATTCACAAGGCCAAAACCAGGTTTTGTGAGGTCACCGTGACCTTGACCTTTGACCTCTGACCACCAAAATCTTCTCAGTTCATCTTTATGTCCAAGTTAATGTTTGTGCCAAATGTGAAGAAGTTTGTTCGAGGTGTTATATAATAATAAATAATACATAATATAAAATAATAGCTAAATTGATGAATGTCTGAAAGAGATGGAAGTAGCAGATAAATGGCTAAAATAGTTAGCCAATGAGCTAATGACAAAGTGGTTGAAAATCCACCTTCTCTCTAACTGGCAGCTGTGTTAAAACATTAGGTAACAATATCCATTCTTCCATAAATCATTCATTCTCCGCCCCACCTCTCCTCAAACGGTCGCTGGAGCCAATCCCAGCTGACACTGAGGCGAAGGTGGAGTACACCCGACAGGTCGCCAGTCCTTCACAGGGCCGCAAAACAATCATTCACACCCACAGTTCAGAGTCACCGATTACCCTGAACCTGCGTGTGCACGAGAAGGGCAGAACACATCATGTATAGAGTTGAATAAGATCCAGCTGGAGTGAGAACAGCTGAGCGGTGTCAGTGACGAGACTGAACCAACTGTGATAAATCATTACGAGATTTTCAGCGTAATGTTGATCATTTCTCCGTCGCTCTGGAGGCAGCAGCACGCAGAAACCTGATCTAAAGGTAGAGTTTAATATATTTTGTGTAATGAAAAGCTTGATTAACTTTATCTGAGACTCAGCAAAACTAAACTCACGCATAAAACAGGGAAATAATGTAAAACTGTAAAACAAAACTCAGAGCGGCACTCCGACGTTTTCTCCTCCTCTCACTGAGAACTCTGGATCACAGCTGAAGTTACAGGAGGCCGGTCGGTGAAAGGGTCAGAGTAGTTCCCTCTGTCAGGAGCAGCCAGCTGTTGTGTCTCTGTAGTAATATCCGTCCCCTGCAGCTCCGTGCTCGAGCCCAAGATAAACAGTTTTGCAGGGATTTGGATCTTTTTTTTAAATTTATTTAGGATTTAAAACATAATCTATGGGATATTATTCCTCCAGTCGTCACGGACACGATCCCCCTTCATATCTCCAACAAGAATCTACTGGTATTAAGTTCTACTGATACGGTTGTTGTGGTGTCCCATAACATCTGTGTGTTGTTTTCAGCTGAATAAATCCATCGCCCATTTCCTTGTATGTTGTAGTAATTGTTGTTGAAACATGACTTCCAGGTCTCCTGCTGTTTCTCGACCTTGACCAAAAGGTCACGTTATAGTTCCTGTAGTAAACGACGGATCCTGGCAGCGATGCCCCGACGTGATGAAGATGTAATCAGCAGGTCTTCAGTCGGGCCGGTTACAGGGCTTCCTCACCTTTTAGACAAGCCACTTTACAGTTGGTCAAAGCTCCAGATCTGATTATATGGTCATTTATATTTATCTACCATTTAGCTGAAGTTCAGGAAGTGCTCAGTGTGGCTCTAAAATAAATGCAAAACATAATTAATTCCAGCTTTTTGACACACAGGCCTTACTTTTTTATTTACTGATTTATTCCGGTTTATATTTACACTTTTCTTTTTTTTGTGGCACTCCTGTGACTCCACAGAGTTAGTGTCAGTAATAAGAGGATGATCCTTCTGGAGGGAGATAGACAACCTCTAACTTCAGTCTCTATCTGGAACCAGCTTGGTTTCTCTCTCGCCTCATGTACTTATTGATATTATTGATCGTCCAGTGAAAGCATCTAAGACTGGGAGGAGAAAATCACCCTTTCTGTCCGTGAGCTTGTAGCGTCTTTATTTCTAAGTGGAGCCGTTACTTCCCCAAAGGATCAAAATGAGACAAAATCTGTGAAGCAGGCGTCAGGTATTTGAAACTTATAACCTGATATATCCTCTGATTGGTAGAATTTAATTTTAACAATATGAATGTGCGTCTTCTGTGTTTCACTCCAACTGCAGATTACATTTGCCAAACACACGACGGGCTCAAATCCCAAATTCCTCTCTCTTATCTCGGGCTAATTAACACGTGTTGTGATACGGGAGCCATCTGTACATGAGGCTGTCGCACACATGATGCTCCGCTCAGCTGAGCTCCAACTGTGGATTAGTTAACTGTAGTGAAACCTTTCGAGCCGTCAGCTGTAGAATGAACAAAAATATAAACGCAACGCTTTTGTTTTTACTCCCATTTTTCATGACTTGAAATAAAAGATCTGAGACTTTTTGTATGAACACAAACACACACAGATATCCTGTGACGAGGCGCCGAGGCCGCTGTCGTGCAGTTTATCTGTTGCTGTGGCCTCACGTCGCAGCGCGATGGACACAGTTGATGGAAGCTGAAAACATCCCGGTCGTTGCAGACATGTCACCCACTGAGCTGATGTGTGGGACGCTGCGGATCATGTTCCGGTTCCGGTGTTGGAAATGTGTTGAACTACATGAGGCGAACGGTGATCGCAGCAGATACTGACTCACATCTGTAGCCCAAGTCACAGTGTTCAGTACCTAATAAATGTCTTTGTTTTTTCCAAAATAAAACTGTTCATTTTATTGTGACGAGGCCCAGGACACACCTGTGCAATAGTCATGCTGAAGGAGAACTGATTCAAACACCTTTGTGAACAGAGTTTGAGAGAAAGAAGGTCTTAGTGCTGCTTTACATCTTTATCTGTGTGTCTGTCAGGATGCCTGTAGCGATGAGGTCGGTCAGAGACACAGCTGCGGTGGGTCGGTTTCCAACTGTCAATTTCTGGGAGGAGACGGAAAAAGAAACAGAAAAACCAGAAGAAAACAACGTCCAGAAAGAAAACGCGTGTCAGCAGTGGCTGCGAAAGGTCTGTCCGTGCTGCTGTCCCAAGCCCAACGACGATGACATCACAGACACTGTGATCACAGGTATTGATGACGGAGATAAGGAGGATGGCACAAATGGCGGGAAGCCCGTGACTGATGGCGGCGAGCTTGATGGTATAACTTCACCTTGAAGAACTCACAGTCGTGTTATTGATCGCACACATGATGAAATGACTTCCCTCTCTCTCGTCCTCGTCTCCACAGAACTCCTTCTCAAAGTTCAGTCGGTCGACCTGATGAAGAGCCGGTCAGGGGAGAACCGCACGGAGCATCACACCAGTCTCTACCAAAGTGATGACTTCATCATCCGCAGAGGGCAGACCTTCCAGATGTGGATCACCCTGTCACGACCTTTTAACCCCAACACTGACAAACTTCACCTCGACCTTAAGACAGGTGAGTCACAAACTGTAGTCCACACATCCAAGAGAGTTACTGCAGGTTCTCCCCGTTTTCATTTTCTATTTCATTTCAGTGTTTGTACAGACTCAAGGCTCTTTACAGTCGAAGGCCAAGACCTGAATTATAGAGAGAAACTAACGGATAACTATTATTGTTATCAATAATAATAATATCAATAATAATAATAATAATAGTAATAATAATAATAAATACTAATACACTTTTTTAATCAAAATAATGTAAATGTAATTTTATTGTTTGTTATTTTGTAAATTCTTTTTGGACGATCTGTTCAGAAATAGTTTTTTACATTCAGGTCTCTTGAAAATGAGATTTCTATCTCAGTAGGATTCACCTGAATAAATAAAGGTTCATAATAATATTAATAATAATAATGATGATAACAATAATAACAACAACAACAATAATAATAATGATAATAATAATAATAATAATACTGAATAAAACTGCACAGATTTCCCATGTGACTGGCCTCTAATCTTAAAAGTGTGAAACCGGATGGGCACAGTCCCGCCCGGCCACACTCACATGCTTCCCTGACCCTGTGCACATGATAACCCCCCCCCCCCCCCGGGCAGTCATGGGAAACTGAGGACGGACGGGGGTCAGGGCTGCAGGAGGGAAAACCCGCGAGAGCTTCAGCTTTTATTCTCATATGCTCTACGCCATTCATTCATCTGCTCATGTGTGAGATTTAAAGATGGAAGAAAGGTGGTGGGGGTGGGGGTGGGGTATTTTTTGTCAGAATTGCTATGGCAACCGCTGTGGTTGCTATGCTCCAGGTAGAGTGCTTCACAGATGCCCTCGGTCCTGCTGTAATGCAAAGTCTCTGTCTGCTGACCGTTCGCCATCGACGCTGTCCGCCACCTGTTTACCCACAGTGCATTTCTGTCTCTGCTGCCTCTGCCATTGTGTCGAGTGCTGGAAGGCAGAGAGGACACAGACCAATATAGATCCTACAATTACAGCTGTATGTGTTGAGTGAAGCTTGAGGAGAATAATTACACCGTCTCTCTTTGAAACGTTCGCCACGTGTTTCCTGCTGAAGACGGAGGAAAGTGCACATGGTGCAAACGTAAAAATGAAATTTTGTTTTTTGAGAGAGAGAGAAAAAAGCAAGTTGTTCCGACCTATGAGTCCACAGTGTGATGTAATAACAACAAATAACAGCACTGATCATGAATAATCATTCAGTAATATTAAAAAGCCATCTGTCCTACAGCAATAAGCAGCAGGACAATAGCAGCTGCAGATAATGCAAATGTATTACCCTTTTGAAAATCACGCCACCGCCGCCACCGCCGCCGCTCACCAAATGGTGGAGATTTTATTTCATTTCAGAACAAACAGGAAGGAGACATTTTTCATTTTTCCATTCATATCTCAGTTCAAACTGTTCTGGGCTGCTCTCAGTCCAAACAGCATGAGGGTAATCACAGTTCAATCTGCCCACACAGAGGGAAGTCTTTAAGATTCAGGTGAAAGTCAGCGAATGCTCTGACTTTGTCGTTTCGTTGTGTGTTTCAAATCTCCGCTAACGGCTCCGAGCGACAGTTTCCTGTCCAACTCACCTGCTGCAGGCAGAGTGAGTAGAGACCGAGCCCACAGGTCGACAAACCGACATGCGCTGAAGTCTCAGCTCCACACGCCCCTCCTCTTTAGCTGGGAGTTACGGGCGGAGTCAGGCACTGCCAAGATGGCGATGGTGGAGCAGCTCACTCTGAGCTTCAGAAACCTGTGGGTGACGTCACAGAGGCGATGTCCATCTTTATTTACAGTCTATGGTCCAAACGTACCAGCAGCTTTAAAGTTCACTAATTAACTGATTATTGTAGGAAACCAAAGCTTATCGTAGTTTAGGTGTAAAAATGACTCGTGGTCGTTCAGGAGTGTGTGTTTCTTCTTTGTTGGCCAGCAGCAGTGACTTCCTGCCTGTAGCAGGCGTGATATTGATCTTGTCATCTAACTTTTGGCAAGAAAGGAGTCAGCCGTCACGCTCTGAGGACCGTCAATACCCACAGCAAACATCTTGGATATTTAACCATTCATTTTCCAGAGTGTCAAAGCGTCAAAGGGAAATTTTGACCTGGACTCGGCACCAGACGCTGAGCTTCTCCGTCGGCTGGTTCCTCATTGTGCTGCTCCTACGTCTCTGTATTGATTTTCAGTTTCACGGTCGGGGTAACACAGTGACTGCTACGTTTCTGTTCACACTGGTTGTTTCTTTCATCTCTGCGGAGGCAGGTTCAGGTTCCAGTTGTCACACAATCAGCCGTCTGTCCGTCCAGATCATCGTCTCAGGAAAGTTGTGACTTGAATCTGTTGAGTCATTTGTAAACACATTGAACAAAAGACAAAGTGACACCCACTGAGGAGAGAGCACAGAAACCAGTGAGGGCTGCAGTGATCCTCCTCCACCTGATACCTCAGTATTTTAGCTGTGAGTGGAGTTTCTTCATTAACTCCAGTCCACTGTGTTTTGGGAGCTGTGACTGACGATGACCTCTCTTTATACCCAGGATGCAGAGGCTGATGTCAGCACTGTTCAGGCAGAGCAGTCACACTGAAGCTGCTGCCAAAGCAAAGTTTCCATTTATAGTTCAGCTCCACTGAGATCAAACTCTGTCATGACATGCTGTGTGTGCGTGTGCGTGTGGGTGTGCGTGTGTGTGGGTGTGCGTGTGTGTGTGTGTATTGTGTGTGCACACCTCGTCAGATCCATAAAAGCTGGATTCTTTCTACTGGGTTTCTGTTTATTTAAACATGCACAACATAGTAGGAATGCAGGTGTGGCGTTTATGGAAAAACAAATACAGTGATTAAAGTGTGTGGAGCTCTGTCTGGGCATGGTATGACACACAATAAGCCATATGTCTCACCTGTCTCACCTGTCCCACCTGTGTCCCCTCAGGGCCACTGCCAGCAGTGTCAAAGGGAACCCATGTCATCATCCCTCTGGTGGAGGAGCTGGAGGACGATGGTTGGGAGGCTGCTGTCGTGTCACAGGACGACAAGAGGATTAAACTGTCAGTTCATTCTCCTCCCACGGCCGCCATTGGCCGATATAAACTCACGGTGGAAACCAGTGGCGCAAACGGCCGCGCTGTTTCCACACACGACCCCGCCAACGACATCTACATGTTGTTCAACCCCTGGTGTGAAGGTAAACATCTGGTTTAAAACACTTTCCAACACACACACGTACAGGTTCATCTCTCTGGTTGATGGCAGCAAAAAAAAAAAAGAAAAGAAGAAAAACATTGCAATACAGCAGCATACATCCCTTAAATATGAGGCTACAGTTAGATAGCAGCTAGCTTAGCATAAAGACTGGAAGCAGGAGGAAACAGGAAACCTTCCTAACCTGCCAGCACCTCTAAAGTTCATTATATTACATGTTACATGTCTCATTTGTTTACGTGTAAAACAGTCTCCACTTGTTGCGTGGGAACTGCTCAGAGCCAAGAAACTGTCCAGTGAAATGCTCTTTTTACTCTCTGGCTTTTGTTCATATTGAACAAGATTTAACATGTTAATTAAAGATCTAAAGAGGTGGAACGCAGCCAGGGCGACTGTTTCCTCCTGACACCACGTTGGCGTTGTGGCGTTAATCTCCCCATCTCAATAAAAGAGAAAAAAAAAAAGGAAGTGATTAAACGGAGAACAGGGCGACTTCAGCGTCTCTCATAAGTCACTTGTCAATCTGACACGTTTTTTAATCTTGACACGATCACAATCATTTCTGAGAAAACATGTAGGAGGCAGAGACATGTTTAATCAATGAGCATCACAATCCTCACAGACACATTGTCCAACACACACCGTCTCAAACATCAAACTTCACCGTGAAGTCTCTTGTTTTACCTGCAGCGGTTTTACTGCAGCTTCTGATGTGAGATCTGCAACTGACAAAAAAAATTAATAAATCACATGAAAATTGTGGTAAAAAGTAAGAAAACTGAAAAGCTTGTGTGAGAATGTCAGAGAGCATGGGTCAGCGTTGTTTCTCTCTCCCTCTCTCAGAGGACACAGTGTTCATGGACTCTGAGGACGAGAGGCAGGAGTACGTCCTCAACGATGTTGGACGGATCTACTACGGCACAGAGAATCAGATCGGAGTGAGGACCTGGAACTACGGCCAGGTGAGCCGCATCAGCGTTTTCATCTGAGAGGCAGAAACCGACTGACTCTCCCTCACCTCCCTCCTTTCCTCCTCTGCTCTGTTCAGTGTGACGACGGGATCCTGGCCGCCTGCCTCTTCGTGCTGGAGAAGAGTGGAACTCCTCCGTCTGGCTGGGGAGACCCGGTGAACGTGGTGCGGATCATCTCAGCCATGGTGAGGCCGACCACACCTGATCTACCTACGTTTTACATTTCTCTTCCTCAGGTGCCAGCGCACTTCCACAGGAGCTGTACTCACAACAACTGTCTGTCTTTTCTTTCACGAAGGACAGACAGGCACCTCAGGATGAGGTTAGATATCAGCTCCTGTCACATTTCACACCAGCTGCACGGCCCTGAATGAGCTAACCCGTTTGCAACACAGGAGACAGGAAGTGTAAACCATTTCATACCACTGGCGCCGGTTGTAATGCGTCATCTACAGTATCTTTGATGAGGTCTGTCCTGCTAGAAACGTCACCAGCTGCTTTTATAAAAAGAAAAAAAAGTAGCTAAAGGATTTTAAAAGTCACAAAATCTGGAGAGAAAATGTGAGAGTTGCCGACGCGGCTCAGTAGGAAACCTCATTAAAGGTTTAAAGGTGTGTTGATGAGCACTGGCCTCTTTTATTTTGCTTTTTACTTTTCTTTATAATCTATATTTTGAAAATGACAAGGTTTTCCATGATCTGTCATCATCCTGTCAACGTGAACATTTAGACAGATTGTCAGATTGTTTATTACATAATGGTGATGAACACTGACTGTGGGGGGGGGGGGGGGGGGGGGGTCTCCAACAGACGCTAGAATCATCTTTGTGTCCGGCCGTGATAACAGTCTCCACTCAGCTCTCACAGTGGGTCAGCGGGACGCCTGCAGCATCACAGCGTGTGGGCTGATGGATTTTCTTTCTGTCCTTTTTTGAGCGACGACACAAACTGAGACATTCAGACGGAAAGGTCTGTGCGATGAGCGGCAGCAGCTCAGGTGAAGGGAAGGCAGCGTCGCTCTGTCAGTCTGACCCCCCTTACCTTTCCCTAATGCTACCATGAGGTTGTCATTTCTTTTAGGGAAATGTCTCGACCTCCACAGACACTGGGTCACTGTAGCTGCTGAACCCTGTGGACTTTGGTGATCCTCTGACCTTTTCCCTCTGGCGCCACCAGCGGGTCAGAGTTATCACACTGAGAAATATCTCAACGTCTGCTAGATGGAGTGGCACAAAACTTTCTGTTACTTTGTGCTGTTCATGTTCCTGTCAGAGAAGAAAGTGCAGTGTTGGGGGGGGCGACCTGACCGCTGAGCGGTGAGGGCCTGAACCACACGGGGGTAAAAAGCCCCGAGCAGCAGGTGCCAGTCGGCCCGTTCACTCTCTCTCTGCCTGTACTCATATCTGTCTTTCCCTTTCAAACAACAGCATAAAGGCCCAGAATAAAGACTTAAAGACAGAGAGAGTGTGTAGTCTTGTTAGAGCCTGTTAGCAGACACTATAAAGCTGCTGACCGCAGACACAAACAGAAAGAGAGGTCTCACTCCTTCTGTTTTTCTGTAAACTGAATTTATTAATTCAGAGTTGTTTTTTTTAATGAAACCAAAAACCACTTCCTTCATTTTTCCAGGTCAACTCCCCCGATGACCGAGGTGTCGTGCAGGGAAACTGGTCAGCAAACTACACAGGCGGGAGCAGTCCCACGCTGTGGAGTGGAAGTGTGGAAATCCTGAAGCAGTACCATAAAAGCAGCGGCTCCCCCGTGAAGTACGGCCAGTGCTGGGTGTTTGCTGGCGTGGTCACCACAGGTGAGATCACTGTTTGGGCTTTGGTTTTTTCCTCAGAGTAAATGTCACACAGACTCTGAACCTCTGAGGCCTCTTCACTCAGTGTCACGGTGTCTGGGCGTCCCCTGTCGGACCGTCACCAACTTCAGCTCGGCTCATGACACAGACGTCTCCTTGACGACGGATGTGTACTTGGACGAGAACCTGGAGCCTATAGCTCACCTCAACGCCGACTCCATCTGGTGAGTTCTGTAATGCTGCGACACGCCTCAAGCCTTCCCTCATCATGACGTACAGCACCGTCTGGTTCACTGACCTGAGTCTTTCCCTGAAGGAACTTCCACGTGTGGAACGACTGCTGGATGGCTCGTCCAGACTTGCCCCCGGGTAACGGAGGCTGGCAGGCTGTTGACTCCACCCCCCAGGAGACCAGCCAGGGCACCTTCCGCTGTGGCCCCGCCTCTCTTTCTGCTGTCCGCAATGGTCAGGTCTACCTCAAACATGACTGTCCGTTCGTGTTTGCAGAGGTTTGTGGATGTTCAACTCCTTAAAGAAAACTCCTAACGACTGTTTTGTTTTCTGCGCACTGAGCACTGATAAAGAGCCGAGTGGTGCACATCAAAAGAAGCGGCACAGTTTCACATCTGTCTCCCTCCCTCTGTGCATCAGGTAAACAGTGATAAGATCTACTGGCAGAGGAACGCAGACGGGACCTTCAGTCAAATCTACAGCGAGAAAAAGGCCGTGGGCCACAACATCAGCACCAAGGCTGTTGGCTCTGATGAACGCAGTGACATCACGCACCTTTACAAACATCCTGAAGGTATCATCCAACAAAACGCACACACTGAAATATTCACTTAACAAGATGGGATGAATAAGCCAGCCTGGTTCATCACTATTAGTGTCCCCTGGAAACACTGCCATTGTCGCCTGTGTTTCTTGCAGTGTGTGTGTGTGTGTGTGTGTGTATGTATGTGTGTTTGTGTGTGTGTGTGTGTGTGTGTGTGTGTGTGTGTAGTGTGATTATAGATCAGCTCTAGCTTCTATATTAATACTGTGAAAGTATCAAAGCCTCAGTCCACAGAGAAATGCACACAGCCTGTATTCAGAAACTGAGCCTTAAAACCAGCCGTCAGGACTTCTGGAACTTTGTGATGTCACAACAAAGCAGTCACCAAGCCCCGCCCACCTGGACCCACCATCCAAACCTTGCAGGATTTGGTTTCTCTGAGTGTTTTTACCTGAAATCTGCTTTATTTTTATTGGATCACTCAGAAAACAGTCAGCCAATCAGAAGAGAGGCTCAGAGCCTCCTCTCTTCTGATTGGCTCACCGACCTGTTGTTACTAGAGCTCCAGAGAGAAGCCTGAGAGAGGAGATGTGAAACTACACTGAGATGGTTTTTATATCTTCTGATGGATCAACACTGGAAACGTCAGATAAGGAACCTTGAAAAGTTTTACTGACACCGCGATAAATGAGTTTTCAGATCTGTGTATTCTGCTACAGGAACTCTGATCTACCAAACCTTAAAGTAAAACTGTGTAAAAGAGTAAAATGCGGGACCTTTAAGTTAAAGAAGTGACGTTCCTCCAACAGTGTTTATGCAGAGAGGAGAAAAGGTATAAAACAAGAAACTGGACCTTTACGTTGCAGTGTGTTGACCTCTCAGGGCCGCCGTAGTTTCCTCTGTATCACTCATTGAATTAACTTGACGTTTCTGGTCGTTCTCAGGCACAGAGGAGGAACGCATCGCCGTGGAAACAGCATCTCGATACGGCTCCAAAGCCGAGGCCTATTCGTCTCCCACAGCGGAGGACGTCTCTGTCGAAGTGACCATGGAGGGTGAAGGTCCTAAAATGGGAGGGGACGCAGAACTGACCATCAAGTTGAAAAACAGCAGCTCAGAGCAGCGCACAGTCCTCCTGCACAGCCAGGCGGCGGTCATGTACTACACCGGTGTCCACAAGGCCACGGTCAGAAAGGACAACACAGACGTGCACGTGCTGCCCAACGAAGGTGGGTGGAGGGTTTCAGGATGGAGGAGACGGAGGTTGAGGATCTTTTATTCCTTTGGTGGCATGAAAGAAGTGAATCTGTGAGCGTGTTTCCTGTAACAAGGAAAAAAGCCTTTTTAAGTTCAACATTTTGATAAATATATTTATTCGTTTTCTTCCCGAGAGTTGGATGATTATTGAAGATTGATCTCAGAGTGGTATCAATCTTTCGTATCGATCTTCTCATTGTACTCTCTGTAAGAAAGCGATTCTCTAAATGTCAAACTATCGCTTTAACGAGTTTTCTTGATGCTAACTAAAACAATAATAAAAGCTAATTATAAAATCAGACGATACTGAAACGTGATGCAGAAGATGACAGACGAACAGAGAATCACCAGCAGATGTTGATGTTGTCATTTCCTGTGTACAGTCAAGATTTTGGAGTGGTCCCTGAACTACAAAGACTACAAGGACCAGCTGATCGACCAGGCCGCCCTGATGCTGACACTGTCAGGCAGGGTCACAGAAACACAGCAGGTCCTGGCCACTCAGTTCAGCTTCCGACTCAGGACCCCAGACCTCATCCTGAAGGTCAGACAAGCAGCTTCACAGGAAAGTAATACACGTTAGACTCTTTCATTTCAGATCTGACTTTGTTCCTCTCTCTTTGTTTTGTTGTCACAGCCAATCGGGAAGGCCGTGGTAGGTGAGAAGACGTCAGTGGAGATTTCATTTACGAACCCGCTACCACGGGTGCTGAAAGCAGTGACCTTCCACGTGGAGGGACTCGGCCTCATGACCGCTCGAAAGATCCGTTATGGGTGAGGAGAGAAAATACACTTTATATCCAGCTCAGTTTTTCTTACACTGCGTCGCCTGTCGTTCTCTTTTGTGACCGCCGCTCTCATTTCCTGTCCCACCCTCAGAGATATTGGCAGCCACGCCTCCATGTCTCTCACCGAGCACTTCGTCCCCACGCTGCCCGGGACCAGGAAGTTACTGGCTTCACTGGACTGCCAGCAGCTCACCCAGGTCCACGGTGTGACCGACATCACTGTGGGGGAGAAGAGCGGCGCCGCTCTATAGCCATGTGACTCACGCTGACGCTGAATGTCTGAAGCATTTTCCCATGTAATATAACGTATATGGAAAGCTTCTATTTATTTATACAACACGGCGACCACGGACAACTACTCATGAAACAACGGAACCTTTTCTACCTTAGCACACATCACGCTGTTTTACGTTTTAATGCGACGTAGTTCTACAACATGCAGGTGTGTGAAGTGCAGCTCTGATCATTCTTCCACAGAGGATACACAACGTGGCAGCTCCAACCAAAGTGTGTTGAGATCATGTCTCCTATTTATATAAACTATGTATTTATTTTGTTTACACTGTGTGATGGTGAGAATTATTTTATTTAAAAGATAAATATGTGTATGTGTCATGTATTATTAAAACACAAATATTTAAAAATGTGTGTGTCCTGGTCACTTGTTGACCGAACGTCACGACAGTTTGTTTCTGGTGTTTGGTGAAGTGGAACCTCAGAGAGCTCAAGCCGCAGAAAGAGCTGCATCTTTTTTTGACTCTCCTTCACATGTCAAAACAGAGCAGTGAAGGGGGTGGGGGTGGGGGTGGGGGTTCAGGTGAGAAACGCTCCAGCTTTATGGGAAACCATGTGACCCCACTCCTAAGTGACAAAGACAAAACGCTCAGACACACATGATGATTAGTGGGACGTCGGCTTGTTTCCTGCAGCTGACAGATGATTGACGGGTCAAGACATGCAGCTCCCTTTATTCATTTCATTTGCCTTTCCCTCCTCCACACAGCGCACACTCTGTCGCACACAGGCAGAAATATTGTTTGTTAATAGATGTTGACGTCGTCGGAGTTTCTGGAAAACAATACAAACACAATTTTTGTTTGCTGCTGCAGTGGGGCGTGAACATATGCTATACATACATCTATTACAGGACTGTTGTAGTCCACTGTGCAGGAAGTCAGAGGCAGAAGAGGCAAGAAACTAGAACATAGAAATAATATGTAAAAAACAATGACGCATATGATGCCAGTGAAATACAGTTCTTATTTAAATGTTCGATGTTTTGGACGTGCACCTGATTCTCTATCGAACAAACAAAGACAGACAATAACACTGATTTTGTAAAATGCCTTTGTGCTGGCTTTGCATCAGCATGAATAGTTTAAAATTTCAAGAGGCACATTAATAACCCCTGAGCAGAGTTTAGAAATCATCTCCAGGAAAATGTGTTGGCACAAGTTGATGTGTCCTCTCTGCACAAACACTGTTGGAGGAACGTCACTTCTTTAACTTAAAGGTCCCGTATTTTACTCTTTTACTCAGTTTTACTTTAAGGTTTGGTAGATCAGAGTTCCTGTAGCAGAATACACAGATCTGAAAACTCATTTATCCTGGTGTCAGTAAAACTTTTCAAGGTTCCTTATCTGACGTTCCCAGTGTTGATCCGTAAGAAGATATATTTGTGGTGGTGGGGGGGGGATCCTATACGTCGCACAGCCTCACTTCCTTTTAAATATGATGACATCACGATCTCACATCCGACTTTTCCTCTCGTTTCCACACGGTGATAAAGGTGTATTTATTTGTCAGAATGAAATCTCTCCTGATTGAAATATCACTTCACCATGACGTGATCCAGCTCAGTCTCAGCATGTCTTCAGATCATTTCTATATTTTTACAAACAAACAAAAAAATGTCTTTACTCTTAACGCCACATATCTGGAGACTCGGCGGCGCTTCCCTCGGTCAGCTGTGATCTGATTGGACGTGCTGTTAAAGGCCAGCGGCAGACGGGGCTGAAGTTGAACAGATTAGATTATGCTGCCAAAATATTCAGACTGATGTCTCGCTCCGCCGGGAGACGGTGACTCAGGCCGACACGAAGCGCCTCTTCATCTCATAAAGCTCTGCAGTGACCCACCTCAACAGGCCGCCTTCCTTCACTCCTAATGGAATCACTGTGTTTGTACTTGGTGTCAGCAGTCGTCTGTTGTTGTGTGTGTCAGTGGACCGTGTGCAGGTCGGCGGCGGCAGCGGCGGCTCAGACCGCAGGACGATATGAAAAGGCAGAGTTGCTCGCACTTTGATCAGGTCTGATTTTCATCATGGCCTGAGTAATAAACCAATTTAGTTATGACATTGCTATTTGCTCTGTGAGTAACAGTCGTTACTCCGGTAACACCAGTTGGGGCTGTTGTGATTGAGTGTCAGAGCAGACGGCGATGACATCACGAAGCTCTCTCTGCTCGGGGGGATTACAGGTGGAGGTGGAGACGGATCAATTTGTGGTAATAGACAGTGTGTCGGAGTTAAAGAGGAGCCTGAGGTCCGTCCCTGTGGCTGCACATCCATCACACACAGAGTCATGAGAAGGTTTATTGATCTGTAACACACATTGGATTTTTATGCCTCCAGCCGGCGCGTCCGTCCCGCTCTCGTGAACGCGATATCTCATTAACACCTTGACACGACTTCAAGTTTGGCACAAACATTCACTGGGACTCAAGTATGAACTGATTAGATTTTGGGGGTCAAAGGTCAAAGTCACAGTGACCTCACAAAACATGGTATTCGCCTTGTGAACGCAATATCTCAGTAACGCTTTGAGGGAATTTCTACTAATTTGACTCAAATGTTCGCTCAGACTCAAGGATGAACTGGAGAGATTTTGTTGGTCAAAGGTCAAAGGTCACTGTGACCTCACAAAATACATTTTTGGCCATAACTCACAAATTCATTCACTAATCATCATGACACAAATTGACTCAAATGTCTATAAGGATAAAATGAAGTGATGACATTTTATATCCAAAAGGTCGAAGGTCAACTTCACTGTGACATCATAATGTTCTGCACACTGAAATAAAATTAACTTATGCACAAAGCTCACTTAAATATCTGATTATATTTTCGATCGTTTGTATTTTAGCTTACTACATTGTGTTCTATATGTTTTAAAACCTGTACAGAAGGACGAACTCAGTGATACCGTGAGGTCGGTATCTTACTCAAGACCTGAATGTGAGGAATGGGCTTCTCTGTGAGGAGGAAGTCAGAGTCTTCATCACAACAAATATTCTGAAAATAGAAGAAAAGGTCAAACTGATGTTGTAATAGTTTCCCTGGCCCGGACATGAAGACTGATTTCTTACACGATCCAGCCAACATTAATCTTGGCAAATGGGAGACATAAAGTTATTTCTGCTTTTGGCCTGATCTGGTTTGTGTCAGATTGTGGGGGATGAGCCCCCGTCGATACTGTAACAAGCTCTTTACTGATAAAATGTTTGCACACAGCCAGAGAGCGACATTTACGTCTCGACTGGCTCTGGAATCAATACGGCTCCTCCAGGGACCGCGGTTTCTCTTATTCACGCTAAATGGTTGTTTTTTTTATTCTGACATTTGCCTCCTTTGAAGAATACCTGCCTCAGGACTCCAGCCTGTGGCAGATGTTATATCAGAATTCATGTTCGCTCTGCAGGTTCCTTCATTTCAGTGACAACACAACTCGGAGCAGAAGTTTCCTGCATCTCTACCGGCCGCCACGCTGTGTGTTAGATCGTACTGTGTCTCCTCGTACTGAGCAAGGACTTAATGAGAAGCTGAAGTCTCAGTGGTGTGTGTGTGGGTGTGTGTGTGTGTGTGTGTGCAAAAGCAGGAAAACAAAGACTTCAGCCTTTTTTCCTTTTGAGGTGTTTTTTGTCTTGCAATTCTTCAGGTGTTGCACAAGACCAGATGCTTTCAGTGAGAGGGCACAGGGTGTGTATTTTGGGGTTAAGGCCGTCAGAGCAGCAGCACACAGCAGACACAAGCCACAGCTGGTTATGTGACACATTATTAAATTCTACCTGATATAAATTCCCTGCGGATAATGTGTGAAATGTCTGTATTTTTGGAGCATGTGTGTGACGGTAGAGGTGGCTGTGTGATCTCTGCAGGCTGATGTAAGAACTGCTGCAATGTTGATGTAATACATCTGAGCGCACGGGTCTGTCAGCGCTGAAATCATCATTGTTTTCATGCCCCAAATAAATCCCCGTGCCCTCAGACGTCAGTGTAACTTTGCTGGGAAACATCTAAATATTGGCTGGTGTGCAGTAAAGATTGTGACTGACACACACACACACAAGTCAACAAGATCTCTGTAATGCTTCTGAAGTTGTAAAGCAGCACCGACTGGACAACAGACATGACGGCTGCGACATGTTTGGAGGTGCAGGACAGTTTGATATGAAAGTCGATGCTTAAGCAGCTGTAACCAACACAATTTCTTTTTTTCATTATTTTATATATGATTTTCTCACATTAGAACAAGCACACACACAATGAGCACAATAGACAAGGAATCCAAAAACAAACAGGTGAGACAGGAGACTGTTCATCACTTTTTAGTGTCCCCTGGAAACACTTCTGTTGTGTTGCTTGTAAACATGGATGCAGTTACTGCCATGACACTTTTGTCATACAATTTTTTTAATTAAACAATTTAATTAGTTTGTGATTGATAACTTCAAACCCTGTGTGACCCTCATATCATTAGAAATTCATGGCACATAATTTTTATGAGCGACAGCTGCAGCTGGTTTGATGATTAGAGAGTTTGTACAAGATAAGCTTGTGTGTAAATTCTCTATTCTTTTGATAAAGATTAATAACTCATTTATTATATCACCAGTTCATCACAACTCTGACTGTGGCTCTGTAATATTTGCCAAAGCTTCAGAATTAGTTATATTTATCATAATCATAATAATAATAGTAATAATAAAAGTTCTATTGCACTTTCAGACAAATTACAGTGATAAAAAATGGAGGACACGCGGCAGAGACGGTAGAGGACACACAATAATTATAGAGCTTACTGTATTTGAGATAAACAACCAGTGAAGATAATGAAATAACTGTTTGTCTGGTGTTTTCAGACAGTGTGGAGAGCCGCTCAGAGAAATCAAGTGGAGCTGAAGGCTGACGGACGAAAACACTTGAACAATAACAGGTTATCAAATCAAGCGATCCGATGTCTTTTTGATGTTTTTTGGTTGAATTAAAAAAAAAAAGAATCAATAGCACAGAGAAGCAGAGAAGCACGGTAGTTTTAGAGTGTTATCTTTGGTCTTGGAGACAACAGCAGCAATATTACAGAGTCAGACTCTGTTTGTCGAAGCCACTGCCTGGCAACCTGACCATACTCATTATTTTATTTTTCTTGTATCTGAGGCTTCGGATGGATCGGTCTAAATTTGGGAACAGGATCTCTGTGAAGCAGAGCGGGGAGCATTAGGAACATTACATTAGAGGATCAGCTTGCTTTAGCTCTCAAATCTAAATTACCCATTGACCCATATCCCCTG